GGTTATGGACTATATCTCCACAGTCACAGATACATACTGTGTATATATATCATCAAATAAATTATTAAATCTTTCTCTTAAAAGTAAAAGAACTGGCTGGTCCGATGGCAGTAGGTTATCAGAACTTATTAACATTAGTGTCACTAAAGTTGGTATACCACCACCCCCACTGCTAAATTTGACTGGCTTTAAAAAAAAAAAAAAAGTAAAAGAACTGCTAGATATCAAAGGGAAATCACTAAAGTTCTAAACTGAAAAAAATAACTTGAAGAAAAAAATTTAAGATTCCCAGTCTGCATGAGGGGAGAGATCTAGACCTCACTGGGAAGCAATCAGGCAGGGAAATCGTATCATTTTCATTGTTTTCTTGGGTTGAGTTTTATTCTCTTTTATTTTGTTTGGTTATGTTAAATCTGATGGCATGAGCAGCTATTTAAAAAAGACAGCAAGACATTATGGCAGCTACTTTGGATTTACTATTAGCTTATTTTGAAGTCTTTTATTGCATTCATTGTTTTGTTTTTATTGTTTCTGCTCTATTCTGTTCTGTTCGATTTTTATTAATGTCTGAAGGTATCTGCAGCTATTTTGAAGATAACAAAAGGCATTATGCTAACTATTGCTGATTTTGTAAGGTTTTGAATTCCTGTATCACTTACACTAGTTTATCTTGGTTGGTTTTATTCTGTTTTATTTTCCTTTGTTTTATCCTCTTTAAAATAAAATTTTTAAAATGTAGGGGGAAGGGGCTGGGGATTTAGCTCAGTGGCATAAGCGCCTGCCTTGCAAGCAGGCAGTCATGAGTTCGATCCCTGGTACCGGTAAAAACGAAAAAGACCAAAAAAAAAAAAAAAAAAATGTAGGGGGAAAAAGTTGCCAAATTTAATAATTTTTATTATCATCAGACAAATAAGTTACTGTATCTATGAAACAAGCTCTGGATGCCATGAGGAGGAAAGAACATAAAGGAACAGTAAGAAATTCTTTAAAATTAAAACCTAAAATAAGTATGAAAAAATAACAATCAAAAACTACAAAAAAGTTTAAGAATTGAAGGGTGTAAGTTTCTAAGTTGGAAGGTCTAAATTACCTATGAAAGGTCTAAATTACCTATGAAATGTGAAAATAAAGACATTTCATTCATGCAAGACTCCAGAGATTTATCTTTCTTCACGTTTCTCAAGAAGCTAATAAAGGATGCATTCCACTAAAACAAGATAGTAAACCTTGATAATAAGGGAGGATTAGAGAAAACAGGAGCAGAAAAGGGAATCTTTAAGAAGATAAAGAAGAAAAACTCAGAATGTAATAAATATAACACAATAAATAACATTCCTGCAAAAAATGACATCCATTATGGTATAAGCTAGGAATCATTTAAAAAGTTTACTGCTGAGTAAGAATCACAATCATTTTCAGTTCCCATACATATGAAATAAGCAGTTCAAATCAAAACAGTATGCCTCAAGTTAAAAATGATGACTACTATTATCATTAAGACTACCACACATGACTGATCATTTATGTACATCTAACATGTACCAATAAAATGACTGAAGAGGAAAAAAAAAGATTACTACACAATATTTCAAATTGAGGACAGAATGGCTCAGTAAAGCTAGTCCAGATTATTTATACTTAGCTTGTTCTGATCATGTGTGAGTCCTTCCAGACCTATTGTTTGTATAAAGACATTTAGCAAAGACAGACAGACAGACACACACACACACACACACACACACACACACACACACACACACACAAAGGGTTCTATTTATAAAAGCTGCAGGTAGATCATGACCTTAAAAACAGAAAATACACAACAGCCAACTCTTCTACTCTCATTCCTAGCAGATGACAAGTACTTGGTCCACAGTGCAACAGAGACTGACATCTAACTATAAGGAGACTTATATGTTGCACAGCAGACTTTCAGATAGCATTTTTCATACTATCTTTAAATATTTCTCCTGTAAAGTATCAAGGAAGATAAAGGCTATGACCCAGTGGGTGTTCAGTTTTACTTTTTCCTAGGGCCCTTTATCTGACAATAAATTATTATTCTTACTTCATTTAACTAGGTGAATCACTTCTCACATCCATTCTTGTGAAAATATTATAAAATATTTGAGGAAAAACAATACAACATTTGATTCTTGTCATTCATAGTAGTTATATTCTAAAAAATTACTGGTAACACTGACTAGCAAATAATGAACGACTGCCTCTAGGGCAAGGATAGGGCTAATTCTTGTGAGCCTCTAGTTACAACAGTCTCACTAATCAATCAAAACATAAACTTGCTTCATGTGTGTTTCCATTTAAATACACCTTCCTTCATACATATAGTAGATTTACCAACACTGAGATCATGGCCTACAACACTGCAACTCCTGCCTAAATGAAGTTTACTCTACCAGTAACACTCATTTTCTCCACAAAGTACTGTCATACACTTAGGAACACTGGACAGAACTTTGGTACTAGGCTTGAGGAAACATTTTAAACTGTAAAATCACCAACAAAAACCATAAAAATCAAAAAAAAAAATATGGCACAGACTAGGAAAAAGGATATGTTTGTAGTCTAATAGCTAACATATGAAGGCACAGCATTACTATCCTCAATCTCAACTGAAGAACGTGCATATTGAAGCCCACCTGAATTACACAGCAAGGCCCTGTCTCAAACCACCCCCCAAAAAAAGTACAGAAAAGGTATTTGACAAAATTCAACATGTCAGGCTGGGGATTTCGCTCAGTGTTGTAAGTACCTGTTTGGCAGCCTGTGAGTTTGATTCCCAGTACCCCACCCCCCAAAAAAAAACAAAAAAGCAATTGAAAACTTCATGATAAAACTTTTTAAATGGGGATTTAGCTCAGCGCATAAGTGCCTGCCTTGCAAGCAGGCAGTCATGAGTTCAATCCCTGGGACCGATAAAAAAAATTAAACATTTTAAATGGCTAAAATGGTGTATGTTACATATGGTTCACGACAATCTTTAAAAACTGTTTTAATGAGCAAAGGAAATAAAATCAGATATTTCTGCCCCTCCAAAAAAGACATATAAATGGTCAATAAGCAAATGTTCAACATAAATAGCTATTAGTGAAAAAAAAAAGTGGCATAAACTGTAATCCCAGCATTCTGGGAGGCTAAAGGGGATCATAAACTCAAACCCAGCCTTGGAAAGTTAGTAACCTCTGTCTCAGTAAATAAAAAGGGCCAGGAATACAGCTCAGTGTAAACGCTGTTTAATCTTCAGCACCAAAAAATTAATCAACTGGGGGAAAGGGGTATACAATGGTGCATCCCTTTTAAAAATGTTCTGGGAGCCAGCTGTGGTAGAGCACACCTATAATCCCAGTACTTGGGAGGCTAAGGCAGGAGGCTAAGTTTGAGACCAGCCTGAACTACACAGTAGTGCAAGGACACCCTAAACTACACTGTGAAACCCATTCTCAAAATAAGCAAAAAATGAGCTGGGGATTTAGCTCAGCGGCATAAGCGCCTGCCTTGCAAGCACCGCAGTCATATGAGTTCGATCCCCAGTACTAAAAAAAGGATTTATAAAATTTGTGTATCAGCCATAATAGCCACAAAGTAGAAACAATGTATGTCACATATATTTGCCAGTTTAAAAAATGAAGTAATGATGCATACTAAATCATGGATGAACCTGAAAACATATTAACTAAAAGAAGTCACAAAAGACTCTTATATGATTCCACTTATATGCAAAGCCCACAATAGCATATCTATGAAAAACAAAACAAGTATCAAGCCAGGAATGGTGCTGTATCCCATGATCCCAGCACTTGGGAGGCTGAAGCAGGAGGATCACCATGAGTTCAAGTCCAGCCTGAGCTGCACAGTGAGTCCAAGCCAGCCTGAACTATATAGTGAAACCCTATTTCAAAAAGAAACTACATAAAATAGGTCAGTAGCTGCTTGGGGCTAGAGGAGGTGAAGAGTGTGGATTACTGGTAAGGACATGAGATGTTTTTCCTTCAGTGATGAAAGTATTCTAGAATTAGACTGTGGTAAGAATTATACAACACTGCTAGACTAGAAACCAATATATCTGTTTTTCTTTTTGTTTTAGTACTGGGGATGAAAACTAAGGCACTCTGTCATTGAACTATATCACCATCCCTTTTTACCCATTTTTTGGGAGACAGGATTTCACTAAGTTGCCCAGATAGGACTTGAACTTGCAATTCTCCTGTGTTAGCCTTCCTCAATAATGGAATTAGAGAAGTGAGCCACTGTGCTCCACTGTACTATATGTTTTAAAAAGTGGAGTCGGATAATACATGAATTAATATATCAATAAAAGAATTCCCACAAAGAGAAAATTGCATATAGCCAATTCCCATCCCTCTATGTTATTTTTGTCATATATTTTCCATTCACATATATTATAAACATATGTCAATAGTATTGTTTTAGACAGTTATCTTACAGACCAAAGTAAACAAAAACTAAAAATTCTGTACTTTGGGGCTGGGGGATTTAGCTCAGCGGCATAAGCACCTGCCTTGCAAGCAGGTAGGTGAATTCAATCCCTGGTACTGATAAAAAAGAAAAAGACAAAAAAAAAAAAAAAATTCTGTACTTTGCTTTATAATGAGCCATTTCACGTACTGTTTTTATGTGTACTTATTTGTTGTGCACACCCAAGTGTCTGTCCTTTATCATGTTCTCTATGCTAGAAGAACTTCCTAGAATACTTAAATGCAATGTAGGCTGTTTGGCAAAGATTTTTCTTGCCAAAGTGAGCCACATATACCTTGCCCTTTGAAGATCACATTTTTAATTCCAATGCTCCTCCTCTAACAAGTAAAATATATAATCTGTAGGCAGCACCATATGCAATTTCAAGAATTTAATAAAATCTCAAACAGGATGTATACATATCCTTAAGAATTTTCAAAAAATTCTCTTTCCCCCCCCCCAAAAAAAACTAGTGTTGATTAAACTAAAAAAAGAACACATACGTGCAATTTTTCTTTTAGCCAAACAGTTTGTTCTATTTGACTGTTTTGTCTTCATTTTCTGCAATCCAGTTTCCTCCTTTGGTTCCTGTTGCAAAAGAACAAAATACTATCAGGGTGATGGCCATGATGAGTATGGCTAAGAGAAGTCTCTAAAGAATCAGTGATTCTTACAAATGTGCACTTAAGACATCAAAAGAGGCCCTTTTCCCCATACCCAAAATAAAAAAAGAAGCATACAAAATCTGGAAGCAGTAATACCATAAAATTTAAAATGTATAATAAACTGATGTTATCTGTCACACACACAGGCACATAAAAACCGACCAATTAAAAAAAAAACTGACCAATTTGAAAATATCAAATCAGTATTTACTCAAGACTACAGAAGCTTGTTCAATGCTTTAAAAATAATAATGTTTAAATTAATCATATATTTATTTTAAATCATTCTATGGCCACTAGGTGGTAAAAGAGAAAGAAGGTAAATGAATTCTATAGAAACAAGAGAATCAAATACATCAACCACATGCCCTCTCAAAATTTAACAAGAGGCACTAAAGATAAAAAATAAAATAAAATTAGGACAACAGGAAATAATCAAGACAGTAAAAATGAGCAGAAAGAAAGTAGCTGAAATAGACTATAGGGAATGATGACCCTGAGGCAAGAGACTAGGACATGGTCAACTGGCTGAGCAAGTGAACATGACTTGTCAGTCACAGAGGTCCAGGACACACGGAGAAAACAGTTCCCAAACCCTGCACCTGGGACCAATCACAAAGTACTATCTTCAATTCTTCTAGCACAAAATCAAGCAAGTTTCTGACTTGCTTGGTGTGATGTCAACATGAAAACTGGGAAAGACAAAAGACGTCAGCCAGGGGGCTGGGGATTTAGCTCAGCAGCATAAGCACCTGCCTTGCAAGCAGGTGGTGATGAGTTCGATCCCCGGTATCGATAAAAAGAGAAAAAGAAAAAAAAAAGACGCCAGCCATTAACCTCATAGCCACTGTGAACTCCCTCAATGACCCAATCTCACTCTCCAGTGTTTGTCTTTCCCTACCTTTAACTGGCCCTCTCTCACTCTGCAGAATGTACTTCTTTTCCCACCTTTAATAAATGAAAACCAGGGGTGGGTTTAGTTCAGTGGCATAAGCATCTGCCTGACAAGAACAAGGTCATGAGTTCGATCCCTGATAACAATAAATTAAATAAATAAATAAAAACTAGGCACAGTGGAGAATACCTGTAATCCCAGCACTTGGGAGGTTGAAGCAGGGGAATCACCATGAGTTTGAGACCAGCCTGTGCTACATAATGAATTTAGAGCCAGCCTGCACTACACAGTAAGACCCTAACTCAAAAAAAATGTAAAACTTCACTACCTTTTTTTATATGTCTGCCCAATTCTTTGTTCATGACATCAAAAATCTGGAAAGAATCCCTAAAAAGAGTCTACTCAACCCCAGAACCTGGCAACAACTCTGTTAAATACTTTCAATTATGGTTACTATGCTAATGTGTGCTTTATAGTACAAAAATGTTAATTTCTAAATCTTATGTGGTCCACCATGGTGGTAAAAAATCTATAATCCCAGCATTCAGAAAGCTGAAGATAGAGGGTCACTATGAGTTTAAGGCTAGCTTGAACTACATAGTAAGACCTGTCTCAAAAAAACAAAGTCAGTAAAATACAATAATTGTGAAGACACTCTGGGAAGCTGAGGGAGAAAAATCAAAAGTTCCAGCTCAACCTGGACAAGGGGCTTGTCCTCAAAAAAAAAAAAAAAAGAAAAGAAAAAAAGAACACAGTGAGGGAGTTGGAGATGTAGTTCAATGTAAAGGCTCTGCATTCAATCCCTAGTGCCACAAAAAAATTGACATTTCTTAGAGTGCTAAAAGTTTCACAAGTTTGTATTCTTTCCCAAATGTGATGAGGGAATTTGTGCATAATTTTCACAAATTCTAAATTTATAGATTCTTTTTACTGATTAGGAATTTTGCAGAGGTTGAGGAATATTATACTACATAAAATGTTACATAAATAAGCCCTGACTCCCTTTCATTAATTTTAATCTAGTCTATCTAATCCAACATCCTGCTTCTGTATAACTGTGTAATCTATTCCTTTTTTGTAACATCACTTAACATTCAATTAAACATGAATCAACAATTCTATGAAGTACAAAACTAACTGCTAATGTTTTAGTTTTGTTCCTGAGAATTCACTATCATAGAACTTGGTTACAGAATACAAAATGGATTACATATTGAAATGAATCTGGCTTTAGGTCATTAATCCTTTTCAAATCTGTTATCTGAGATATTATACAAAGCACCAGTAGATAAAATGAAAAACCAAATGAGACAAGTTTATTTTTGAGAAATGTCTCAAGCTTTTTTTTTTTGGAAAAATTACACTCATTAGGAAAGTCTTTTGAATTGGAAAAACATAAATCCATGATGTTTGTACAGTTAAACATAGTTATCCCCTAGTGCTACAGTTTGGATCTTAAAAGTCCTCCAAAGGCCCATGTGTTAAAGGCTTGGGATGGTGAAACTTTCAGGAGGTGGGGACTAATGGGAGGACTTTAGGTCATTGGGGATATGCCCCAAAGCCTCTTCCTCTGTTTTCTAGCCATGAGATGAGCATTTTCATTCTGCTATGCACACCTGCTAAGATAGTCAGCCTAACCACAGCTCCAAAACAATAGGGTCAATCTAGCATGGACTAGAAACTCTGCAACTGAAGTCAAAATAAACTGATCGAGTATTTTGTTTAGTGACAAAAAGTTAACATGCCCTGTATGCACTGGAGATTGAAATCCAGAAATCAACCCCTACCCTTGTGAATACTAAAATCTGAAAATGGTCAAGTTTGGAATGCAAAATGGCATATACTCTCATATACTTTAAGCACTTTAGGTCACATGCTTAATATAAATGCTGTATAAGTAGTTATTATACTGTATTGTCTAGGAAATGATGTTTTGAAAAAGTATATATGCTCAGTAGGGAACCAATCATCTACTGTTTTTGTTTTTGTTTTTTTTTTTTGAAACAGGGTCTCACTATGTATGATAGTGAACCCCTGAACCCTGAACCCCTGAACCCTCTATATATCCCTGGCTGGCTTCAAACTCACAGTAATCCTCCTGCCTCAGCTTCCCAAGTACTGGGATTACAGGTGTGCACCACCATGCATGGTTTTTTTTTTTTTCCACCTACATTTTCCATCACAGACGCAAAGCCTCTGTATACAAAGAGTCAACTGTGTGAGTGATGCCACATAAGAAAATTAATCTATTTGAAAACATGAGTATCAGAAATTTTATTCTCATTTCTGAATCAAATATGTGACAAGACTGCAAAAAGTGAAAACATTCATTGGTTCAAGACACCCTAACATACATGAATGAAATCAGGAGGAATCAATGTTAACATAAAATTTAACAACATATTACTTAAAGGACAGCATTTCTAAGACATTTTAAATATTAGCTCACTTGTTAGCTTTCAATAGTTAAAAGATATTTCACATATACTGAAACCAAGGAAACGTAGGGGAAAAAAGGCCTTAATACAAAATACAGTTACAACTTGGAAGTTTGTTTCATCAGTTTAAAAAATGTTGTATATGATATGCATTAAGTTTTGGCCTCATGGATAACTATTTTCATCTACAGAATGGTCTATTCTACATTATTCAATAATTGGATTTTCTGTTTTTAAGAGTTCTTACAATGAAACTATGAGCCACTTTTTTCAGAGAATCCTGTTACCTTACGTAAACTGGTTATATGTTTGGTAATCTAATTTTAAACTGGACAGATTTAGTCTATTCTAGTCAAGTTACAAATGTTAAAATGTAAATTTGTTTTGATTAAAGAATTTTTCTGGGGCTGAGGATTTAGCTCAGTGGCATAAGTGCCTGCCTTGCAAGTGTGTAGTCATGAGTTCGATCCCCGATACCAATAAAAAAGAAAAAGACAAAAAAAGAATTTTTCCACTAAAGAATAAAAAAAACAAGGAAGCTATAGTAGGTATAGTAATATTAAAGAAACAGATATCAGGTCTGTAAGTACAATATGAGAGTAGAGCACTTGCCAAAAATGTGTATATAGTACAGTATTTCCTTGGTTCAATCTCCAAAAAAAGGGAGACTAGATACTAGAGCAAAGATTACTATTAGTGATAAAAAAAGGTTGGTTCAGAATCAGTCATGGTAATGCATCCTATAATCCCAGCACTCAGGAGGCTGAGGTAAGAGGATTACTCATAGTTAAAGACCAGCCGGGGTTATATACAGTTGAGTTCGAGGCGAGCCTAAACTATGTCTCAAAAAAAAAAAAAAAAAAGTAATGGCAGCAGCAGATACATCAGTGGAGAAATGTAATCATCACTACTCAGTAGGCTGAATCAGGAAGATCAAAAGTTCAAGATCAACCTAGGAATTTATTGAAACCTTGTCTCAAAAAAATTTTTAAAACACTTTGGGTATAGTTCAGTAATAGTGCACATGCCTACCCTGCCCTGCATAAGGCCCTGGATCTAATCGCTGGTACTATACAGGCAGACAGTGAGAGAGAGACAGACAGACAGAGAGACAGATAAGACAGAGAGAAGAACCAAGAGAGGGAGAAAAAGAGAGAGAAACTAGTTAGCACATATTGTATATTTCAATGTGCCACTTAATATACATTTTGTCTAATTCCCCTCTAAAATTCCATGAGATTATCAGTGATAATCTCACAGATAAGCAATGTGAGATTCACAGATGAGAAAACTTCACAGATGAGTAAAGTGAGGTTCAAGCAGTTTTAAGATCAGGAATAAAACCATTTCTGTTCATCTATAAAAGATGTCCCTTTCTTTTCTTTTAGATTTATTGTAGTTATTTTGTTTGGTTTCTTTGGGGAGGTTTGTTTTATTTTTGTTTCTGTTTTTGTTTCTGTTTTGCAGTGCTGGGGATCAAAACCATGGCCTTGCCACTACCCAGCAAGCCCTCTAACACTAGGCACATTTTGTTTAACATGAAAGAATGTGTCAGAGGGAAAAATATGATGTTTGTGTGCATAACTCAGTTTTATTCGTTGGTATTAGATTATAACCTGAACATTTACACTGACCCAGTTCTCATTTATTAAAGTATGACTGTAGGAAATTTTACTTACATTATTTCTAAATCATTACAACAGCCCATAGAATATTACTAGTTTTACAAACAGGAATAAAAAGTTCAGAATGTTTCACACAGTAAATGGCAATAATTCCAACGAAAAGATTAGGGTTTATAAAGGTTCACCACTGTTCTTTTAGGGATCTGGGGATAATAAGAGAACATAAGACTGTATCAACTCAAGTAACATTACTCAGCAGAAACAAGTTATATGAACATGAGGCCTAATAATGGATATTTTATGCTATTATTTTTTTTCCCAATGCTGGGGATAGAACCCAGTGCCCTGCTCTACCTCAATTATATCCCCAATCCAAAAGCTATTACTCGTTACGCACACGTGCAAACACACACACACACACACACACACAAAATATCCTGGCTTCAATGGTTAAACAGCAGAAGTAAAATCAAATGCAGACTTTTTTGAGAGCACATTCTTATAAAAGCAAGTATTACTAAGTTATGCAAGACACAGAATTTCTGCCCTTTGGGAAATGATCCAGTAAGACAGAAAAAAAAAAATACAGTGGCAATTTCAAAACAGTGTGATAAATGATACCACTGAAGTAAGCATAGGTTCTGTGGAAGTACAAGAGATGACCAACTGATGTAATCTTAGAAGATCTGTAATGATACTCAGAGGAACTGCTGTCTAAGCTGAAAAACAACCTAGGAAGCATTGCAGGCAATGCAAAGATCAAAAGAAACACCAAATAATTCATTTGCTGCAGGTGGTCATGGGTGGAGTTCGATCCCTGGTACCAATAAAAAGTTAAAAAAAAAAAAAAAAAAAGAGCAAAAAAAGTGGTCAGAGAAAAGAAACAGAACGCCCATAAAGGAAAATCCATCAAAATAACTACAGACTTCTCGACACAAACTATCAAATCAAGAAGAGCTTGGAGCTAAATATTCCAAGCCCTGAAAGAAAATAACCCCCAACCCAGATTATACCCTGCAAAACTGTCTCTCAAAACCCAAAAATAGCAGGATATACTACGGTAACTATCCTTAATTTCCTATTAACTTAACCTGAAGCCTTGTATTACTTACACTGTCTTACTATGACTGATCTTATTTGAATCTGGTTGGTTAGATCGCTGTTTTGTCTTGACTGATTTTATTCAAATTTGGTATGTGTGATAGTACCAAGTCTAAGAGCAGAGGCAACTACTCTGAAGACAAGATGCAATAGGATACCCGTTACAGTTTGATTATTAACTGCCTTTGAAGTCTCCAATGTTTTGTTTTTATTAATATTGTTAAGTAGTGCTATGTTCACTTATATTATGCCTGATGATATACACAATTTTATTGAAAATAATAAGAGACATCAGAGTATTGTGGTTTTATGTCTTTTTTGATTCATGTTTTTCTTGGAATTTGTTGTCTTGTTTTGATTTGTTTTTCCCTCTAATACAGAAGGATAGGTATACATGTAGAGATTCACGCATGTGTAGAACTTTTAAAAAGTTTATGAGAATAGATTATATAATGCACAATGTAATGAACAGATACTTTGAAGAAAAGGAGACACTAAGATACCCAGCACTAATTCCATAGCGTCATGATATAAAATCTAGCAATACTATTAGTCTCTGTCCAGAGTGATATTAGTCTGTTTTCTTTTGTTTAATTTCAACATACGTGAAGATATGGACAGCTACTTTGAAGAGAACGAGAGACATTATGGCAACCATTGTAGACTTCCCTATTGTCTGCTCTTGAAGACCTAAAATGCCTTCATCATTCTGTTCTGATCAGTTTAGTACTATTTTGTTCAGTATGAATTCACTGTATGTGAAGACATGGACAACTATTTGGAAGAAAACAAGAGACAATATAATAGGCAGTGAAGATCTCCAGTAGTCTTGCTTTGAAATCTGTGTTTCTTAAATTGTTTTCTTATGATCTGTTTTGTTCTGTTTAATTTTAGTCTCTTTAAAATAAAAAAAAGAAGAAGAAAGGTTAAGATCTACCAACCCTGTCAAAGCTTTCAATATAGAAATTCCTAGCCACACTGTCTAATACAATAGACATCAGCTTCTTGTGGTGCCTTTGTTCACGTGACTATAATGCATACAATAAACTTTTAATTTTAATTTTTATTTAGATAGTTATAGGTGGTTAGTGGCTACTATATTAAAGAAATCATACCTACAGATTTAATAGTATTTATAATTTCTTTTTCTTTTCTTTCTTTTTTTAACATTTTTGCAGTGCTGGAAATTGAATCCAAGGCCTTCTGCATGCTAGGCAAATACTCTATCATTGAGATACATCTACAACTCCAGTCATACTTTTCTTTTTTTTTTTTCAGAACTAAAACCTGAACCCAGAGCCCTTGTTTGAGCTACATCCCAACCCTTCCTTTTTTATTTTGAGAGAAAGTCTCAGTAAGTCACTAAGTTGCCAGTCACTAAGTTGCTTGAACTTGAGATCCTCCTGCTTCAGGCTTCCAATACTGAGATTAGAGGCATGTGCCACCGTGACTAGCTTGCACCCACATTTTATTTCACTTTCTAGACACATGAAAATATTCTTTATTCAATTTAGTTTAATCAACAGTTCTAAAATATCATATTGGGTTAACCTATAACAAAACCGAAGAGCTATAATACAATCTAACCTCAGCCAAATGGCATTATTTAAGTAATTTATAACTCCATTTCAAATCAAAATAAAACTGAGCAAAAATTACATGGTTTTGAGAAGCTAGCAGGATGATTTGGTCACTCAACAAGCCACTTGCGGATACACAAACCTAGATTGAGACTTACAACTTTATTTTTTAAAATACTGACCTCTCCATCACTATCAGATATCACAATGAATGTATCTTCAACTCTACGCTTCCTCTTCACACTGACAGAACTGGTGGTTTCTGCATCCTTTTCCAGATTCTCAGATTCTGAAGCTTCTTTAACTTTTTTCTTTCTCCGTGGCATCCTTTTGTCTAGAATACAAAGTGAAATCATTTATTCAAAGTATAAATTTTCTAAAAACTATTCAATCTGTTCATGTAAAAGAATGGAATCAAAACTAGGTTTCATCTCTGGGGTAAAATTTCAATAGCAATAATAAAATAATTTTATCATGATTTTTTATATATTAACATAGATACCAGATAACACATATATTAATACACATACCTGGTTTCTAGATCATACATTAAAAATTTTCCTAAATTTTTTTTCTAAAATACTAATGCCTTATAACAAGAGGCATAATGGTAACCATTGTTGATTACCTAGTAATCCCTTTTTTTTTTTTTCATTTTATGCTATGTCCATCCTCCTGATCTAACTGACTCTGTTTTGCTTTGTCACATTGGGTTTTTCTTTGGTCTGTCTTGTTTTGTTTTTTGGCCTTTTTTTAATCTTTTTTCTTTTCCTCTTCAAAGAAAAAGTTAAAAAAAAACTGCGGAAGTAATGGAAACTAAAATGTGTGATTGTTAGCGTAAAAAAAGAGAGGAAGGAAAGTGATCTAAAGGATATAATTGCAAGTTTATTTAAATGTGTAGGATAAAGAACCATATTGCTGAGTATTGCTTGGATCATTGAACCGAACTGACTGCAATCTCACTGTATTAATCTCCGCTTTGTATGCTTTAATTTTGTAATCTGGACAGCTGTTTGTAAATTGACAATGTGTGATCTATTAACTGGTGAGCTCTTACTGTATATTTTTTCTCTTGAAATTCTGTATTACTTCAAGCCTTTTACTGTCTTGCTTCGTTTAGTTTTGTTTTTCTCTTTAAATAAAAAAATATATATAAAATACTAATGCCTTGATCTAATAAAAGGAATCTACTCAAAACCCACAGCTAATAAGCTAACATCATATCCAAAAGTAAATGAATGAAGGCCTTCTCCTTCAGACAAAGAACAAGACAACAATGTCTGCTTTTTCCTGGGCACTGTACCTATTTCTATAATCCCAGATACTTGGGACACTAAGACAGGAGTATCGTGAGTTGGAGGCCAGCCTGAACAACATAGCATGATCCAATTTTGAATCAAAGAGAAAAGAAAAAGAACATCTATTTTCATCACTGAAAACTATATTGGAAGTTGCAGGCAATCAGGGAAAAAGAATTTTTAAAAATTCAAATAAGAAATGAAGAATCAAAACTATCACCATGACATGATCATGTATTAAGACAAATTTTTAAAAAACTAAAGAATCCACTAAAAAATCTAGCAAGAACTTGCCTCAAAGTAACAAAAAGAGCTGAAGATGTACTTAGTGTGAAAGTCTTGGGTTCAATATCCAGCACAAGAAAGACAGGAAGGGAGGGAAAGGCAGAAGGAGGCAGGATGGCAGGTAGACAAAAGGAAGCAGGCAAGCTAGGATTCCATTTATATGATATATCCAGAATAGGTAAGCCACTGAGACAATAAATTAGTAATGGTTAGGAGTCTGGGAAAGGGAAACACACAATGACTGCTTAAGGACTACAGGGTTTCCTTTGGGAATAAAAATATTCTGGAATTACACAGTATAATGACTATTGTACCACTGTGTGTTTACCAAAAGCTACTAAATTATATACTTATATAGTTAAAATGGTAGCTTTTACTTTTCTTTTTTTTTTTTTTTTTTTGGTCTTTTTGAGACAGGGTCTCACTACACAGTTGAGGCTGGCCTTGAGCTCACTTTGTAGCCCAGCCTGGTCTCAAACTCCCAATGCTCCTCCTGCTTCAGCCTCCTGAGTGCTGGGATTACAGGCATGTGCCACCATGTCCAGCTCAATTTATCTTTAACTCTATTTTTTTTTTTTCAGGACTAGAGTTGAATCCAGCCAGGGCCTTTGCACTGAGCTACATTACCAACCCTTTTTGAAATTTTTGAATCAGGGTATATTGCTAAATTGCCCAGGCTGAACTTGAACTTGTGATCCTTCTGCCTAAGGCTTCTAGGGTACTTAGATTACAAGCCTGCACCACCACACCTAGCAAATTTCACCTTAATGTTTTAAAAGCAGGTATCTCAGGCAGACATGGCGGCACAAGCCTTAATCCTAGCACTTACAAGGCTAAGGCAGAAAGACCAAGAGTTTGAGGCTAGCTTGGGCTACACAGTGAATTTAAGGCCAGGCTGGCCTATATAATGAGACCATGTGTCATATAACCATAAAGAAAAGGGGTTGGGGGTATCTCTAATTGGTTTTACTTTCTAGCAGAGGTAATCACATTCTTAAATACAGCAACCTTAACTTTATTACAAATTTCTCAAATTGATTAATCATTCAATTATCTCTAAGGAAATTATTATTATATCTTATCAGAAATCTACAATCTTAGCATTAGGGATACTAAAAATGTTTCAGGGACAAAATATTATAACAGAATTGCTAGTAATAAATTACAAATCCCAGATATAACCAACTGACAAATAATTCTCTTTATGAATAAAAATACAAGCAAATTTTTTTAGCTAACACATAAAAACTCTATGCATTAATTGGGGCACAATGTAATGTTTCAATACCTGCGTACATTCTGTAATGTTTAAATCAAGTTAAACATAACTATATCTCTAAATATTTATAATCTTTTCTTCCGGCTCTCTGAAATGCATGATAAACTTATCTCTAGTTACCACCATGTGCAATAGGACACCAGAACTTATTACTCCTAACTACTATAATTCAGTAGCACAGATCAATTAACTTTTCTCCCATTCTTTCTGACCCCCACTATCGGGCTGCCACAATGATAGAATTTCATTCTGTTTTATGGTTGAATGGGATTCCACTGGATATATATACATTTTCTTTACTCATTCATCCACTGATGGACACTTAGGTTGTTTCCATTTCTTGGCTATTGTGAATAGCACTGTAGTACATTAGTACAGACATCTCTTCAACATACTGATTTCCTTTGTGTATATATATTCAGTAATGGAACTGATGGATTTTGGAGAAACAGTTACACTTTTTAGTTTTGTGAAGATGCTCCATACTATTCTCAATCATGGGTATTCAATTTACATTCCTATCAACAATGTGCAAGAATTTCCTTTCTCCACACTTGTTATCTTTCATTCTTTTGATAATAAATATTCTTACAGAGATGAAGTGATAGCTTATGGTGGTTTTGATTTGCATTTCCCTGATGATTAACATGTTCCTGCAAGCTTGAATCACTGGTGATACATGCATGACTGTCCCACTGGGCAGCTTGTGCTACTGGTACTACAAACAGATCTAATCACTTTCATCAGTCTGTAATATGGTAACATCTGGTCTGCTGAATCAATTTCTTTCTTCCATTATGGTAATCAAAGACCCTCTAATAAGTAGTGCAAGTCACCCAATAGGACAGTCATACATTTACTACCAATGGTTCAAACCAAGGCAAACAACGGAATTCAAATCAGGGCCACCCAGGTGCAAGACAGGAGACAAATCACACCCTCATCAAGAACATGTTACAAGAACATGTTAATGATGTTGAGCACTGGCCTTTGTGTGTCTTTTCTTTTTAAATTCAATGAAATGTTTATCAATCAAATGCAGAAAAAAATCATCTAAGGAAAAATCTTAAGATATAGTAACTTCACATATTCAGAGGGCTGTCACATGAAGAATCAAAGATTTGTTCAACATTTCTGCAAAGTCTGTAATCTGAAACAAGAGAAAATATAAGCAAACAAAAACCTAGAGGAGAGTTGCACAAAGTGCAGCATTTATCTTAATAGCTTTTTCCCACATAATGTGTTCCATACTTAACCCTTTTGCTAAAAGGACTTATTGTACTAGAGTTTAGTACTTCCCATGATTAAGTTGCTTTTTTAACACAAGGTCTCACTGTGTAGTTCAGGATGGCCTTGGACTCCCTATGTAGCCCAGGCTGGCCTCAAAATTGCAACGATCCTCCTGCCTCTGCCTTCTGAGTACTGGAATTACAAGCATGTACCACTCAACCCAGTTTAAATTACATTCTTGTGGCAAGCTCTCTACTGCTATCAACAAATATATTCACACAATTGGGGGAAAAAAACCTAACACTGTTTTACTCAGAAAATAGTCTATTTGTTCCTTAGCTATATTTCAGTAGTCTATCTAGGAAATCAGTAGTGATTTCCAGGAGACAAGGAGAAAAAAGAACACATTCTCCATAGGATGAATCACAGTCTCAGCAATTTAGACACAACCCTATGGAAAAGTCCTCCTCTAACCCCAAATGCATCTATCATTAGAACTATTATACAGCTATCAATCAGTAGTGTGGATGGGAGTGTGGGATGTGCTGAACAAGAAGGCTGACAGCCACTGCTCTACATGAGGCAGTATAGCTTATTTATGAATTACAAAGAAATACAAACTAACTTTATAATATTGATTACTCCAACCAAATTGTTACACATTACAGAATGAGAATTGCTTCAATTATTCAGCATGTTTAACCACTTAACAGTTCACCCTGAGCATCATTTCAAACAGTCAATTTTTGTATTGAATAAATTATAAGTCATTTTTATATTTTGTTATAAAAATTTTTTAAATACACAATTTTTGGTCAACCTGTGTTTAAATAATTGGATTGGTAAATAGTCAAGGACAATATACACAATAAGTGATGATGGAGTGGATGGTGCCAGGCATGATGGCATACACCTGTAATCAATCCAGGCGCTCGAGAGGCTAACGCAGGAAGATCACTGCAAGTTCAAGCTCAGCTTGTGCTGCATAGAGAGTTCAAAGCCAGCTTGAACTACATAGCAAGACCCTATCTCAAAAAACTGAAAAAAAAAATATGGTAAAGTGGTAAGTAGCAGTTAAATTTAGCTTTACCAAGATTGGGAAACCAGATACTCAAAAATAACAACTTGGGGAAGAAAAAAAGAGAGAACTAGATCACTGGGGATCTGGAAGGAACTGACAGGAAAATTAAGTCACAGATAAATGTGGGAGACAGACCACAACACAGAAAAAGAAACAGTCTG